GAATATATTATACCTCTGTGCAGCCCTCCACAATTATCGGTTAATGACCAGGAATCTCGGGCCTAACAAGGCCTTTAATGAGCAGGGCTCTCGGGTCTAGGTGGCTAAACCATATGATCAATGTCATCAATGCCATCAATGCCCCTGCTAGCCTGCTGCACCCCCCATCAGGTTAGCCTCCCTAGCTCTCTAGGGCCTCCCTCCCTTTAGAGATTGCTGTAGTAGGTGAATTATGTGTATAGGTATATTAGTTAGTGCTCAAGTAAACTATGACATGCAGTATGGCAGCCCCAGGGAATCAATTCAGAAAATGCGCATATTTATTGGTACTCGGCTAGCCAGCCTACCAGTACAGGTATGGGTTGGGACGGGTGTCAAATACAGTCCAATATGTATCTGTATTAGTGTTACAGAAGCGCTTGGTGATCCATCCACACATTGTGGAGCTATGGATACCCCTTCCTCCTATCTCCCCCCCTGCCTCCCCCCTGTAGCCTGCTTTCCTACCGCTATCTGCACCTGTAAATGATGTCACTGGGGTTCTAAGGGTATGTGAGTATGATGGTACCATTTATATCCCGGCGCCTTCAGTCATTCTCTCTGGGGGCACCCACCCCTTCCTCCTGCTCCTCCTATATTCATCCCCTGATGGGGCCTTCAATTCTGAACCTCTTGAGCTGGTGCCTAGTGCTAGGGGGCTTTCAAGGGCTGGCTTTAGGATGGAGCCAGTCTCTTGATGACAGTTGTACTCCCTTAAGCAATATTCAGTACTCTGCAATTTGTCTATTTTCTTGATCTTATTATGGCCTACATTTAAAAGCATAGAGCTTACTTGTAATGCAGACCATCAGGATACATGTCATGAGTGTATATAAACATTATAGGGACCTTTATATTGTCTAGATAGCTCCACAGGTATTACAATCATTGATTGATTAAAAATTGATGTAATGTTAGGGATGCCTCTAGGAGGGTGAAGGGCCCATTGTGGCTGCTCAAGAGATGAAGACAATGTAGTGTATTGATGGAGGCAACCCTAGGTGGTAGGTACTGTATTTTTTCAATCATAAGTTTGTCCCCTGTCTCCAGGCCCAGTGAACACGAACCTATAGGATCATTTGTCCCTGTCCCCCCTTAAATATTGCTTATAAAGCTACAAAAATATTGCAAAAAGCCTTTTAAATGCCATCAAAGTTACCATATATGGGAGTGATGAACTTATTTGTAAGCAAATCTATTTTGTGTCCCCTGTCCCCCTCTGTTAGAGGTGAACTTATGATCAAAAAAATACAGTACAGAGTGAAAAGCTGCAGAACAAGAGCCTGGGAGTAGGGGTTTATAAGGGAAATTAGAATGTAAACAAAGGTAAATAACGGAAAATGCTGGAAAATAATAGGGTCTGATGGGGTGAAACCATGACACCTCCCCCACCTTGTAGCAGCTCTCTATATTTGATCATAGCTCCCTGTACCTCATGAGATGTGTGGATGATGCTTCTATCACAGTCAGAACATGTATTGACCCCATTCAATAGTACACCAATATATTTCACTATATATATCAACCTTTGAGACTGTGGAAAAAAGACTGGGAGATCTATACACTGATACTGTACTGACCAGAGTACTACCAGTCAATCAAAGTATGGTAGTACAGTTGATAGAGTTGCCTGCTAAGATTCCCATGCTCTGATTGACTGACCAGACCTGATATAGTACTGTATATACAAGTGCTCTGATCTGCAGTGGAACATATGAAGAAATGGAACAGAAGGTGCAGCAGGGGACTGGCTACCTCCTGAAACTAACTTTTTCATTTTAAACCCATCTAAAGACTCCTAAATTAGAAGAGATTAAGGGGCACAAAATTAGTACCGATTAGAGGTTGTTAGTACCTGGCAATTTTCCTAATCACTCCTAATCGGCCAAATTGGGCTTTGGTGGATCACTCAAGCAAGGAAATTAGGACACTATAAGCAGGCTTTGGAGTGTCAAAGATGGAATCTAGAGCCCTAAAAGTCAAAATTAATGAACTTGAAGGTAGCATTCAAGTCACACTCGTACCGTAAAAGTACCGGTTAGAGACTGTAAGTGGTGCTTCACCAGTCCTTAGCACCGGTTTTGGAGGGATGAGCTGACATATGTTAGCAATAAGATGTAGTGATCTGTTTGTTAGTACTGTGTGCATGCACTGTGAGGTCTGATTAGTCGCGGTTAGAGTAGATTTGAGGGCGCATATACGCGGTTTTCCAAGTGCTTAGAATATGTTAGCAGCGCAATATACCTGGTAATGAACCCATCAGCTCACAGTGAGATCACATGATGAAACAAAAGAGATAGTGCAAATAGTAGCATTCTGCATCGCTATCGTAAGAACATCTACGCGGGGGTCGTGATGGAGCATAAGCACCAACCCCGAGGGTCGTCAGCAGATCGTGAGGGGGCAGAGCAATACTAGGGATAGATGTAAGATACCACAGAAGATTGGGAGAGCAAGGACAACGTGAATGGTTATGGGCGTGAGGGGGGGAGATGGTAGGAATGACAAGGCAGAGGCGATTAAGCACGGGCTATAGAACAGAAGGGGAGAAGAAAGCGGCGGTTGAG